ATGGGAAGAATGGGGGGGAGTGGGGGGGAAGAAGTCTTTTAAAAGGGTATACAGCATGCGATGGATAAATTGTCGTCTAAATTGAGAAGAAAAAAAAAAGATAAAAATAACACTGACATCTCATTTTAATAGATATATTAACCAAAATAACCAAATTAGTTTCTAATAGGCCGATACTGTTGCGATAAAATTAATGAAGAAGTGGGAACAAGTTCGAAACAATTCATTGAATATGAAATTACTAAAATTAGGCAGATACATAAGGCTGTTCGAAAACTATCAGTGGAGAAAGAATAAAAACCCAATTAGATAAATACATAGATACGTGTTGTTGATTGGGTCCCAAACATCAATATCGAATTTACAAATCAAGGTTGAAATTTTGAAAATTCAATTCTATATTTATATTCTTCGTTACTTTTGGGAGCATCTTATATACAGACAGATTGACTGAACGTACAGATATTTAGCAACTTAAACTTAGTAGAGAATTGTAATAGCAATGCACGCAGTGAGGATCAGACTCCCTACACTGACAATGGTATGTTAGACCAGCTTGCTAACTATTCTTGTACATCAAAGTTAGATGTTCAAGTCAAGGTAAAAGCTAGGATTTAATATTAATGGATGCAATGGTAGCGTAACTATTAACGGCACGGTGAGCGATTGGAGCTGTTAACATGTGTTGCCTCCGTGATTTAAGAAAGTAAACACCTCGTTCATTACGACAGATTTGCTTGTCACTTGCTTGACCATAACCGGTTGAATATGTCCCTTAGAAACTGACGCGTTCTGCATCACTGTCAACGAACAGTCAAGGAACATCATGTCCGGGTGTCGAAAGCTTTTTTTTTTTCTAATTTTTAGTTTGAAGGATGAGGCAGCCAATGAGACTTTGGAGTCACGTGTAGATGCTTGTAAACGTCCTCACTAGGTGACTGTCTAAGCAGATTGGGTTACCCGACATGAAGTTATTTCTAACTGGGTCCATCTGTAAGGTTATGCACTGCTTTTAATAAAACCTTTCACCAATCGCGCACGTTTGCCTCGTATACTGTTATCAGACCGGGTGTTATGATAGTGATATTGGGGTTGGTAGATTTGTATCCCAGGGTCACTTTGTTGCCGTGCAGCTAACTCGCTTTACTACAACAACAACAACAACAACAATAATAACAAAGATGATGACGATGTTGTTGATGATGATGGGAAGAATGAGGGAGAGAGGAGAAGAGGTCTTTTAAAAGGGTACACAGGGTGCGATGGATAAATTGACGTCTAAATAAAAATAACACTGACATCTCATTTTAATAGATATATTAACCAAAATAACACAAAAATATCTTGGAGTACTATAGAGTAAATTATTCAATAAAATCGCCATTGGCTTCAACCACAGCCACCAGACGACTTCGGAATCTCCTGCATCTCTTCTGGGCGGTCTCCTTGTTGGAGTTGGTGAATGCTCCCATAATCCTTGCCTTCAGTTCATTTTTGGTGTTACAAAGAGTTTTGTTGGTCTGCACCCCACACATAATAATCAAGGGAGGTCCAGTCTGGGAAGTTAGTTGGCCAGATGTAAGTGGTAATGTGGTCGCAGAAATTGTCTGACATCCATGACTGGGTTCTCCTGCTTGTGTGGCATGGTGTAGAGTCCTGTTGCCAGACATAGGGTCTTCCAGCAGCCACCCTCTTGACCCAAGACAGATTTACTTCCTCAAGGCACTTGATGTAAACTTCCGTCTTGAGTTTGAGGCCTTGTGGGAAGATGAATGGAGGCATAGCGACACCATCACTAGTGATCACCCCAAACATCATGATATTGACAGGATATATCATCCAACTCTTTCCAAATCTACTGCACTGTCTACAGATTGGCACTCAAACACTCTGAATTGTTCTTATTGAAATGCCAAACAGTGCAGCATGCCATTTCCAAATTTCTGGTAGAGTGAATTGCGTTATGGTGCTCTTTTTCTCACAGACGGTGCCCAACTGACCCTACTATATTGAGAAGTCAACAAAATCAAAAGAAACAACGCACATGTGTGAAATTAAAAATATAAAATGGCGACAATTTACCCATCGCGCCCTGTATAGTGTATTTATCGTAGGTATCTCCAAAAACTTTTTAAAAAGAGCATAAAAAAGGTTCAAAACTTGATAAAAACAAAGATTTATCGTCCAAATGTTTATGTTATTAGTAAGAGGAAAGGCCAAAGTATTTTTGGATTATTTTATTAAATTTTTTAATCCTTTCTAGCACGTTTGAAATGTAGGTTAAAAATATTGTTTTTCTTGCGTCAGCGTGTGGGTCAAAGATCAGTATTACGGAATAGCCGATTTTTTTTTTAAGTACGAGCTATTTATCGAATTCTAGAAATTTTGGCTGTAGTTATCGTTCTTATTTTCTGATAATGTCGTGCATGGTCATACACAACATTATCAGAAAATAGGAGCGATAACTATATGAAATTTAAAGCCAAGATTTCTAAAATTCAATAGATTATTAGATTATGGAGAATATTTTCCTAAAATATGATTACTCAGTACGTAAAATTATATGAAAAAGGCGCTTACTTCATTTTATTCAATTATGTTTTATAGAACAACATTAGATCTGTCATTACACTGCTAGCACGTCAGCACCATGACTGTCGGATTAAAAAAAGCAGCTGGTTAAAAAGTGCATTTCTACGATAATTTATATTAAAGTAAATATTTGTTTCATATCAGATTAATTCTTTAAATCAGCTATTATTCCTCAAATAAAGTTTCATAAAAGTATATTTTATTTTTGAAAGTTTTTTTTAATAAAGAAGATTACATTGCGATGAAAAACGACTAAAAATGGTGATGATCAACTATTTCAGAAACAAAAAAATTCCTTCCAGTCAATTTAAATTAGTTTTGAAATACAGCAAAGTATTTTTGCTTATTGGAAATATTAAATTTAATCTATTATATTAGCATGAAATTGAAACTAAAATAAAAGCTTCAAGAAAGATTTTTCATTTCTAAAACTTCATTTTAACTTTTAGGTATCGCGTTTTTTTTGTTTTTTTTTTGTTTTTGTTTTTGTTTTTTTTTTGTTTTCTTTTCTTTTGGTTTTTTGGTTTTGTTTTCTTTTGGTTTTTTGGAGTTTTTTTGTGACGGTCCCTAAATCGGAATATTTTAGGATATCATAGATACACAGTACCAGAAATCAATGTCGATAATTCTGAAGAATCAAGTTAAAGCGTAAAAGTGAAACTGGTCTGTAACTTTACAAGAGACCTCGAAGAATAAGATAAGAAATCAAGAATTTAAAAAAAAAACGCAGAAAAAAATGTATAATTACGTAAATATATATTTTTAATAACTTTATAGAGTTCAATAGTCGAAACTCAAGTTGAAGCGGGTTCTAAAGCGGGTTCTAAAGCGGGTTCTAAAGCGAAGGCACACCATGACTTAAAGCATGCAAAATGGCTACGTCATATGAGACAGGCCAGTAAAAAAATATCGATAATCCAATATGTTTATATGCATAAAAATTTTTTTTACGAGCCGGCGTAACAGTCCAGAGCCTACCCACAACCCATAGTACACCCAGGATTATTCTAGTCTATGTTAATTTTTATACCCGGGGTATAAGTTAGGCTAAGCCAGTTTATATTCCCGGATATAAAATGAGCTAAGCAAGAATATGTAATAAGATTGTATATCATTGTCACTAACCATAAGGGTGGGGGCAAATATAAAGGAAGCGTATATTAGAGTTAACACCCCACCCGCTATTTATTTTGTAGTGCTGTGCCTGACAAGAATATGAAACGTTAGCATTTCAAAGATCAAGAAATATAAGCTTTTATTTATTTTTTTAAGCATTTCACTGCAAGCAAGGCGATAAGGCCACTAAGACGCAAGGAGACTACCGAGATTGAAGGAGAATGAGAAAACTTTAGAAGGAACCGGAAACCGAATCCTAAACAGGAAACAAGTGATAAACCACTACTTTTGTTCAATAAATGAGGAACGGGTGTGAACCGAGCGATAGGCGAAACTATTTACATGAATGAGTTGCTATAGTCTACAACATTCTGTTTAAAGCCGTAATTATTGAAGAAGATTAGTTATTTTTACAAACATGGATATCTGATGACTGTTGAATGAGCTTTTATCAGCTATTATTACCAGTTTGTGAACTGGATCTATCACATAATATTCCAGTTAAGAAAAACAGTTGTTGATACTGAGAGTAAAAGCGGGTATAAACTGGTCAAGAGAGGAACGTAGTTTAGATGAGGTTATTTTATACCCCGAAGTATAAAGTAAGCTAGCCCCAATTATAACCCGGCGTTTATTCTAAGTTAAACTATCAGTCAGTGATACACGCTTAGGCGATCATGTATCTTTCGATACAAGACTGATGAAGCAGTCGGTTCCCAGTTCTATCCAAGGCCCGGTCTGTCCTATTTTACTATCTTAGCAGGGGGAAGAGGAGAAGAAAAGGATTCATACTTTTCCCAAGGGTATTAGCACGTAAGTGAATGTAATGGATTCGACTGGAATTCGAACTCGGCACTCAGATTCCTCAGTCCGAGCCGCTATCCATTGTTCCACCGTGCCTCTTTAAACTATACCTGAGTATATTCTGGTCGGGGGTTAATCTGGGCTGTTACACCGGCAAGCGTGGTGATATATACTGCATGGGTATGCACCACTTTTGTGCATTAATCGATGTAATTATCTGTGCATAAGTTAACCTACGCCATGCGTAAGCGTGCGTGCCTGAATAAGCTAATATATATGCGCATGCGTGCGCGCAAATGAATATGCGCATAGCGAGTACGTTTTATACAGGTACTACAGCCGTAAGGCTAATGTCGTTTTCGCCAGTTGTATCTACTTTGCGCCACGGTACTTTCATTTCACAGCCTTTTCGAATTCTCTGCAGCGGAACGTACAAGCAAGGCATGAGAAGAATAAACTTCAGTAAAAGCACCAGAATTGGCAGCAGGCTAGAAATGAAGGTGAAAGATCTTATTAGCACGAATACCCGGGTGATGGTCATCCACCAGCGCACCCCGAGGATCAGCACATGGCTCAAAGCCAGGGCCAAGCAGAAATAGCCGAGATAAGACTGCACGAAAACGTATTCCATCCAATTGAGCTGGCTGGAAATAGAGGGTATTGTCGACACAGCCAATACAGCCATTACAAGGTAAGCGAGAACTCCTGTTAAAAGCATAATCTCTCCGATATAAAAAAAGCGAAATTCATTCGGCACTGGGATGGTGAGATTCGAATTCACAGTGTACATCTTGTAATCGACCTTGTAGAAATGACCCAGGTTCCACGAGGTGAGGACGCATATCGAAATGATCACGTGAAATGTGGCAAAGAAAAATGCCCAGAGTCCCAGCTGTTTGCGGGACTTCATCCATCTGTCGAGCCAATTCGGGAACCGGGTGTGCTTGTTTCCGTAATAAAGCTGGAAGAAGGCAGCAAATTCGCCGGGCAGATAGCAGCAAGCCAAAAGCGTCACGGACGTCGTGCATACAGCTGGGTTGAGTCGAGTCAGCGGGTACTCACTCCAGATAATCGTCTTGCGCATGAACATCCGAGCGATCGTCCACAGGGAGTAGACAAAGAAAAGCCCCCAAGCAAACGCTGTCGGTCCGACCCACTGTGGAAATAGGCGACCAGTTTCGTTTTCGATATCATGGGCAGCACTCAAGTTACCACGATCGACCGGCACAAAACCTATATCACGAGCTAGCTGCATGACTGCCAGTTTCGCCTCTAAATGATCACTGCATATATGTACGTTTTTGCTCGCCCCGAAACTCTCAGACTGGAGAGCCCATGAAGACACGCCATTAAAAGCCTTCACAACTTTGGCTCCTGTCTCAGTTGAAAGAAATTCGGCGTTGGAATAGACGTCCTTCCGGGTGCTATTAGAGACATCGACCAGGATTTTCTCCTTAAGTTCGTTTCTAAACCTGGATAGCATTGTGTAGTTGACCGGGTGGATAGCATTGATAATGATGTCCGAATGGGCAATGCAGTCAGCGATATCTAACAGGGTGGTCTTCGAAAGACTAGGGTCGATGGATTCAAGATGGCGATGGGAGGGGTCACGGCTGCCCATCACTACATCGAAATTAGCTCGCTGGGCTCTGATAGTAAAAGCTCGAGCAAAATCTCCCGTACCGATGACTCCCAACTTCTTTGACGCCATTGTATTTAAGTGTATCTGAAAAAAATAAAATAAAATAGAATTAACATAAAACTATCACCACAGCATAGATATTATGGCTTATATTTTTTGTAGTTTGGGAATAAATCATAATAAAAGTAATTCATATATTGGGTAACCGAAAACATTGTTCTATTTGTATTATTATATGGTATTAGGAGTGTCTAGATTTCACTAGATTCAAAGCGATCATCTTTGTATTGTGACAGAGGTCGTATCAGTGGACATTTTTTTAAAATCATTTCACCCCAAGCATGGCAATAAGCCACTAAGACGCAAGGAGTTACTGAGTGTGAAAAATATGAGAAAAAGAAAAACATTGTTAAGGAGAAAGGACAATAAAAGAACCGTAATTAAGAAGATAGAAAATAACAATTGCCATTGCATTTAAAGTTTTGAAGATCAAAGTTGATTGTAAAGCAAGAAGCCAGAAGAGAGTTCCACAAGCGAGAAATGCGAGAGAAGAAATTGTTAGCATAGAACTTACGGTGATAGGACCTAGCAGCCAATGGGACTAATGATGGGACCTAGCTGTCAATCTAGTACCGCGTTTAAATTCGTAAAGTCGAGGTACCAAACAGGAAAATCATCAGAACAATTACCATGAAAATATTTGCAGAAAAAACGCAGGGAAGCTATGTCACGGCGGTGGAAAAGTGACTGAAGTCGAGATGCCAGGTCACGTCCGATAATATTTCATATTCTTCTGAGTATTTTATCAAGAATTTCTAAATACATAACAAAGGTACCCGACCAGATATGACAGCAATATTCAATGCATGGATGAATGGTTGACTTATTCGTAAAATTGATTCGGTATCTGTCTATATTTCTGAGATGATGTATTATGTACACTATTTATATTATTCGGGCTAATGTCCTCATCTTTGTCGTCATATTTATTAAATATGGCGACAAAGATGAGGACAATAGTCCGAATAATGTAAATAGTGAAAATCGATTCTGGCGAGAAAAATTGATTTTTTTTTTTTTTTGATCATTTTACCCCAAGCAAGGCGATAAAGCTACTAAAACGCAACGAGAGAAATAAATTTAAGGAGACAGATGACGATTGACGCTTCATTTAAATTTTTGAAGATCGTTGTTGACAGGAAAGCAAAAATGCAGAAGAGAGTTCCACAAGCGAGAATTTCGAGAGAGGAAACTATTACACTGTGTAACACAATTTTTATCATTGGCTAGCAACTATTATTTCCGGTTTGCTTACGCTTACAAAGTATAAAAAATGGTTAATATTGCCCTCAAACTTTCTTTTTGTGACCAGGATAATGATATTTCTGAAATTTATCTATGCCCATTGTGAAAACTGTCGAATGCGAACATCCTCGTTCACGCAAAGTAGGAACAAAACGACATACGATTCAAAAATAGCTTTTATTTATTCTAGGATTACACAAGAGAGATTACAAACAAATTAGAAGTTTTTCGCAAAAATCAGCCCTTAAATATAGACTCCCGTTATGTTTTCGTTATGCGATTCTTGGTAGCGGTTTTCAAAATCCAGTATATCCTGGTGGAAACGTTCGCCTTGCTCTTCTGAGTACGCCCCCATGTTCTCCTTAAATTTATCAAGATGAGCGTCAACGATATGAACTTTGAGGGACAATCTGCAGCCCATTTTGCCGTAATTCAACACCAGGGTCTCAACAAGCTCCACATAGTTTTCAGCCTTGTAATTCCCAAGGAAGCCCCGAACCACTACAACAAAGCCTGTTTCACGCTGCTTTCTCCGTCCTAATTAGCTTCTTGTTGAATTCCTTGTACTCTATGTTATCCTTTATTTGTGATCCGACAAAGACACCAGCTTTGAATTTTGCCGCAGACACGATAGGGAAGAAATATCGGATTTGTATCACTAAATCACTATTATCACCCCCACCAAATTCTTGCAGTCTAAAAAATATTTTCTGGCTGTAAAAGGTCGATAAACCGTAAAAACAAATCAATGAATCAATCAACATCAGTAGAACAAACAGTATGGTTGTCAGCAAGAGGAAGAGCCCACGGTTCGAGCTTCGAATTGGTGACATCAAAATCAAGCAAGTAGAGAAATGTAACTGAGATATGTTTTAAAAGAGGACGCAAAATGTGACACTGAAATCCGAAAGCGCATCGGAATATCAAAAGATGTTTTCCAAAATCTAAGTATTAAGAAACAGGAACATATCATTAGAAACAAAGAAAAGAGTGCTCAACTGCTATGTAATATCAGTTCTACTATATTGCAAGATCGGACAATTTCCTCATTTACAGGACCGCCTATCATAGGATTCACACTCCCCCTGCTCTTTTGAATAGGAGTAGAAATTATCCCTTGTTTCCTGTTTAGGATTCCGTTTCCGTTTTCTTCTAAACACTTCTCATTTTCTTTCACACCCAATAACCTTTTGCGTCTTGGTGGCATTGTCGCCTTGCTTGGAGTAAACTGACAAAGAAAAAGCAGAAAAAAAGGATGGAGAGGAGATTTGAGGCAAGAGAAATGTGGTTCTGCAAAAGCAGGAAGCGACTGAGCAACGAAATAGTTTTAAAGAAAACGAAAGAACGCTTATACTTAGAATCGGAAACAGACAGTTGGAATTTCTAGGACACATAAGGGGGAAAGAGGGCTTGGAAAAGTTAACACTTACAGGATATACTGAAAACAAGAGGAGCAGAACGAAACGGCGACTAACCTACAGAACAAGCTTGCGTAAATGGATATCAGAACAGGAAGTGGGAAGGATAGTAAAAACACAAATATTTACCAGCTACAAAGATAGAACTTCCTGAAGAGACAGAGCACATTCTTCTTCTTATTATTATTATTATTATTGCTATGTCCCTTCGGGACGTTGGTGCACATGGTTTTCTACAATCTCCTCTCCTTTGTCACATTTTTTTAAATCATTTCACCTCAAACAAGACAATAAAGCCACTAAAACGCAAGGGGTTACTACGATTAAGTAGAGAGGACAATAAAAGAATAAGAAGACAGAAGATAACGATTGACATTGCATTTAAATTTTTGATGATCAAAGTTGACTGGGTAGCAAGAATCCGGAAGAGAGTTCCACAAGCGACAGAAGAAATTGTTAGTATAGCACTTACGGTTACATCTAGCCATTTCAACTTTAAAATGAGGAGACCTTGCCAGGTTTGATTGTAAAGCAAAAAGCCGGAAGAGAGTTCCATAAGCGAGAAATGCGATAGGAAAACAACGGTTACATCTAGCCATTTCAACTTTAAAATGAGGAGACCTTGCCAGGTTTGATTGTAAAGCAAAAAGCCGGAAGAGAGTTCCATAAGCGAGAAATGCGATAGGAAAACAACGGTTACATCTAGCCATTTCAACTTTAAAATGAGGAGACCTTGCCAGGTTTGATTGTAAAGCAAAAAGCCGGAAGAGAGTTCCATAAGCGAGAAATGCGATAGGAAGACAACGGTTACATCTAGCCATTTCAACTTTAAAATGAGGAGACCTTGCCAGGTTTGATTGTGAAGCAAAAAGCCGGAAGAGAGTTCCATAAGCGAGAAATGCGATAGGAAGACAACGGTTACATCTAGCCATTTCAACTTTAAAATGAGGAGACCTTGCCAGGTTTGATTGTAAAGCAAAAAGCCGGAAGAGTTCCATAAGCGAGAAATGCGATAGGAAGACAACGGTTACATCTAGCCATTTCAACTTTAAAAATGAGGAGACCTTGCCAGGTTTGATTGTAAAGCAAAAAGCCGGAAGAGAGTTCCATAAGCGAGAAATGCGATAGGAAAACAACGGTTACATCTAGCCATTTCAACTTTAAAATGAGGAGACCTTGCCAGGTTTGATTGTAAAGCAAAAAGCCGGAAGAGAGTTCCATAAGCGAGAAATGCGATAGGAAGACAACGGTTACATCTAGTCATTTCAACTTTAAAATGAGGAGACCTTGCCATCAATCTAGTACTGCGCTTAAATTAATAAAGTCTACGTATCATAGCGGAAAGTTCATCAGAATAATTACCATGCAAATATTAATAGAAAAGACACCGGAAAGCTATGTTGCCGCGGTAAGAAAATGACTGAATCCGAGCTGGCAGGTCAGGAACAATAATACTGCAGATTCTTCTTTGGATTTTATCAAGAATCCCTAAATATATATAACCAGACCAAATGTGGCAGCAATACTCTCTTAGTAAATTCGGTCTTTTTGTTATCTCTTCTAAACCCTGTTCAGTCATTCATTTATACAAGCTCGTTAGATTACGTCCTGTTTTCCTGTTCCTCTTGACCTTAATATATCCTGTGAATGTAAATTTTCTCTTTTCTCATTATGTGAAATTTCAGCTTGTCACTTTCTGATGTTAAGTATAAGTGTCCTTTTTGTTTCCATTTTCTAAAACATCGATGTTGTTCACATCTACAGTTCATAATATTCTCAGCATCCTTCTGTAGAACCACATTTCAAGTCTCTTCATCTGTGAAGAGATTGTCCGACACTCACTGCCATATAGAAGGACTGGTATTACATAACAGATCAGTACTCTTTTCTTCGTTTCTAACAAAATTTTCCTGTTTCTTAATACGTTACTTAGCTTTTGGGAGGCATTTTTCACTATCTCAATGCGCCTTACACTTCCCAGATATTTAAATTGAAGTACTTACTTGATTTTGGTATCTCCACTATGTTGCGCTGTTCCTTTTAAATGCAACCATATCTTCTTGCAAGAGATGTTTAAAATGGTCCGACTACCTGAAGTCGGTCTATCAAGAAAATAATACACATTTTGGTAGCGAACAGAGTAAAGGCGTACCTCAAATCGAAGCTTAAGATTTCTTTACCATTATCTTTATTCATATCAAAGTCTGAAACCCGTGAAATTGTTCAGATAACGTGAATATGTGAACAGATCAATAAATAGTCGAAACATCGGAAGAGATTTTTCTCTATCAAAAGCGTTTTGAACACGGAGAGAAAAAGCAATATTTAAGGTAAGGTGTATTGTCGCTAGCGATCTAGTAT